TTTGAGCCCTCCTCATATATATATATATATATATATATATATATATATATTCAAGGTTTTCAAATAATTAATTATAAAAAAAATTATCATGTGAAGATAAGTTGAAATAACAGTTAAATCACTTAATAATTTCTCTTTATCTACGCTCTAAATTAAAGTTCACGTACTCATGCTTCATAATAACTAGCAAACAAGAGTATATATTTGCGCACCAATTAATATGTAATGTTAACAATATTTAATATTAAAAGTTGGAGTAGTAAGAAGGATGAAAGCAGATTCAATTTATCCCGATAAAAAATAATAAATAAATAAATAACCCAACAAAAGTTTTGCAATTTGTTAGATTGAAAATCTTGTTCAAGTACCTTAATTTAAAAGCGGTTTAATATATATTAGATTAGAATGAAACTTTCGATTTTCCATGCAAAGGCATTATACCACAAATATTAACCTCCGTATGAACTGCTAATCTCTAACACCCAATTCAAAACCCTACATCTCATACAATTAGTATAGTAAATTACATAATTAAGCAAATTAATTATTATAATTCTCAACCAAATGGGGAGCTTCTACCTTGTGCCACGGAACTTGCATTAACCATAGGACTCGTCCTTTCTGATTGAAGTGGTGATCTTTTTGGCGATGGCCTTTCTAGCTTCAAAGGTGCATCAAATTTCTTCTGATCCCCTATACTTTCTCCATGGAGTACCACTGGCTTTGTGTCATAGATCTCCGACATGGGATCACTATCCATTGATGGTGGTGAAATCTGAACCTTGTGATGATCACCTTTGAAAGGGTCATCTTGAGGGCTAATGCATGATGAAGCCGTTCCCATATCTTGAAGCCTTAGATCATCATTCCAAATCAAAGGACTCTTTCCACTTCCACTATAGGGGCAAGGCCTCTTCTTCCCCACAAACAAACTTTCACTATTATTAGTTGGAATAAACCCTTGATCAAGATGGTCACCACTACCATAAATGTTTAGATCTTGAAAAGAAGGGAAATTGAGAGAAGAAAATTCTTTCATGACCCCAACATCAGGGGTGCCTTGAGGACCTCCAATGGTACCCTTCATGTTTGTGGCCATGTTTTCTCCGGCAAGTGTGTGACAAGCCTTCTCCAATATACTTTGCATGTATTTCCCTTGAGCCTCAATCCTCAGCTGAAGGTTTTTCTGAACCTGCCACATATCATAATACACCAAAACCCATGTCAAAGACGCCCATGAAAAATAAGAGATATAATTTCAGGAATTCTTTTTTTATCTTAAGGTCCTGCAAAATTAAGTTGATCTTAGAGGTTTAGTTACAGGAATTGTAAACCCTACAAGAAATGTTATATATAGTAATACACAAAAATTAAGTGTCAATATAAGTACAATATATGTAAGTATATATTTATTTGACATATACTTACACACAGTTTTAGTATTAATTTTGAATGAGATTTAATAATATATGTTGTGTATCATTATAGTTTATACTAACACTTAATTTTTAATAATATACTAATATATATTATATTTATTATTTAGATAAAAGTAATTTTTAATGACATATATAGTGTCATTTTAAGATATGTGTATAAGACAATTTTCTTTTAGTGAAATTGTAGTGTTTACCTCTAGTTGTTCATGCAATCTTCTTTGCACCTCCATTTGCATCCTATATATTGCATCAAAAACAACCCAAGAAGAATAGAGAAAAACTTAATTAGTACATGTTAGGATTTTTTTTTTTTTTGGAGAAAATAATCAACCTTTTAAAATAAGAAAGTATTATTTCTTCTAGAATAAACATTCAAAAATAATCGCAAAATCAGAAAATAAAATAAATTATTTTTCTAAAAATAAGTTAAATCAAGCACACACTTATTTGTTTTAATAAATTAAAAAAGGATAAGCAAATTGAAAGAATAAGAGGGTGGAAAATTCTCTTGAAAGTTTGTTTATTAATTGTAGCTGTATTTAATAGAGGATAGAAGAGAGCTAGGCATACTCGTTCATGTTGCGACCAATCATAGCAGAAGAGGGACCAATATTTCGTTGAAGGTCTAAAGCCGAAGCTGCCAGGATGGTAAAAAGATGTTATGAAGATATGTAAAAGAACTGTATGAATTAGTTCAAACATTTAAAAAAAAAAAAAAAAAAAAACTCAATGTTTTTGAATAAATTAAAGAAATTAAGTTATTGGAAAATAAATTAGTCTGTAGTCACCTCTCATGCCATCCTTAATCGAGTGCTCATTGAAATCCTTGTGGGGTTGCTTTCCAAGTCTGAATTTCTACAAAATTCAAATCACAACTTAATCACTAAACATAAAGGAAAAGGTAAAAAGAGAAAAAGAGAGGCAACAAGATAGCCAGAGGAATCGACAGTTCCACAAAAGAGTGCTAAAATGAAAAGCAAAAGAAGTGTGGAATTGAATATGGTTTGTGTTCAAAGTTCAAACCTGAAGGTGGCTCTTGAGGTGGTAAAGGGTGAGACCCTTCACACCCATAACCCTCATGATTGTTTTAGGAGTGGCCTCTGCAGATCATAAGAACACAATAGCGAGTAATTAATTAAAAAAGCAATATACATTAACATATGCATACATTTAATTAAAATCTTTTATTTTTCTTTCGGTAACACTTGTCTATCTAGATATAGATTGACACATGGATGTCTTCTTTTTATTTTCTCCATGTGATCGAATCACAAATATAACAACAAGATTTAAACATCACTAGATTGATCTTAGTAGTTTTGATTCGACCTATTGACTCTTACACATGGATGATTATGAATTATTAATTATTTTTAACTAGAGACACATGAAGGTTAATGAATTATTATTTTGAACTAGAGAAGATGCAAATAAATATATATTAGTTATGAATAGTATATAGTTTGCACCAAATGAAAGGAAAGAACAAAAGGGGGTGTTAGATTAGTACTATCAGGTCCTCCAAGCTGAGCAACAGCATCAACAAAACGTTCATGAAGTTCAACAGTCCAACGGAGGCGTGGCTTTGGGTCTGTGGTGAGGACAAGGCCTGAGTCTCCTTGCACACACATGGGTCTGTCATGGGAATTCATAGTTGAAGGCTTTTTAGGAGGGAACATTCTTTCCATCTCACACTCTCTCTGATGAGAAGAAGCTCTGAGGAGTACCGAGAAATTCAAGAACAAATTCGATGCAAAGAGAGAAGAATAGGGTGCGTTTTAATTGGAGAGGAAGAGGTTGTGAAAGGCTTTAGCTGTAGCTACCCCCTCTAAACTCTAAATTATATAGAATAAGGTAAAGATCTACCTTGCTTAAAAAGAATGTGTTAAATATAATGATTTTTTTTTTTAACAAAAAGAATAAAGCATTGTTATTCTAACATGCAAGCCTTCCTTTGTCAAAGTCACCGCCTCTCTCTCATTCCAACCTTAATTACTAAGGGTTCGTTATGGTGATTTTCAGTTTTAAGTTTTAAATAATATTTCTAAAAATTATAGTGAGCTATATATTAGTTTTTCTTTATTTCTCTTTAATTTATAGTTTAATTTTTTGAAGATTTCTTATGCTGCTTAATTAATTTAAGAGTATATTTATGTGGTGATGACAATGGTAGTAATGTTATGATGATAGTGGTAGCAAAATTTATGTAGTTAATATGATAATAGTGATGATGGTAGTGTTATTGGTATTCTGACGATGACACTAGTGTTGACAGTGATACTATTAGTAATAATGGTGGTGACCATTATTGATGCTAGTAATGGCGTTGGTAGTGGTAAAAGTCACAATGTTAGAAGTGGTAATAATGGTGGTGGTGGTGACGATTTAGGAGGTGTTGGTGGTAGTGGCAGTAATGGTGGTGATGATAAGGATGTTGGTAGTGGTGTTAATGTTGACATAATGATAATGTGATGGTGCACTATAAGAAAGTTTCGATTTAGAGTCAGCCAAAAGCCGACTCTAAATCATAAAAACCGACGTAATATTGTCGGTTATTCGTCAGTTTTTGGCCGACGCTAAATAAGTCGAAACAATTTGTTTTGTGTCGGCTAAACCATCACTAATAAATTTATTTATTTTAATTTTTTATTGTCGGTTAAGCTAACACTATGTTAAAACAATTTATTTTATATTTTTCTTTATCTTCTTTTTCCATCTTATTATTTATTCGTTCGTATTTTTAACATTCCTGGGACTCGATCCGTGAACCTTGAGGTCTTAAGTGAACTTGATAACCAAGTGTACTAGAACACATTATGCGTATATAACATTGAAAAAATTATCTTTATCTCTCTCAAAACACGTATACGGTCAGAAAAGCTGACGCTATTTTAAGATGTAGCGTCAACTTTTTCGAGACTAAATTTAAATTTAGTGTTGGATGTGACACCCTTATTACCCCAACACATATATTGTAATAATGAAAACTTACAAATAAAGTTTTCAATTTTGGTAAAAAGGTTCACATGAGAATCTTTAAAATTATTCTTCAATAACCACAATAAAAAAAATGAAACGCAAGAGTATTTACAAATTGTTTTCAAAAATAATATTTACAATTCCAAATCCATATAAAAATCTATGTCCTAAAAATCCTCTGCTCCGATGTCACAATATCAGAGCATACCCATAATTCAACTGTTGGCATTCTAGATGCCACTTGTAGCCGGATCTTTTTCACCTAAAACATCCACAATTTATACAGTGAGAAAAGAAAATATTTATATGCAAAGCACATACAAACACACCATAATGTAATCTCATCATAACTCATTACTTAATAAAATATTTACAAGCATTTATATATATATCATAATTTATCAATCATTCATCATTTTCACATCTCAATTCACAATTACATCAATCCATCACAATCCACATAATCTTACAATTAACACTATGTCAAGGCCACGCCACAACTGACACAACTGATACGGGTTAATTGCCTCACTCATCCCACACCATGTCATGGGCACACTCGTCCTTGTAGCATCACTTACCCAATGTTCGTCTCATCTCTGGTCATTAGTATGAGGAACCACAATCACATTACAATCCACACAAGTCTTGCAATTAACCCTATGTCAGGGCTGCCATATTTGACATAAGTGATGCGTGTTAATTGTCTCACTCATCCCACACCATGCCAGGGGCACGCTCGTCCTTGAAGCATCACTACTCAAGGTTCGTCTCATCCCTGGTCATTAGTGTGAGGAACCACAATCACAATCATATTTACATCCATATAACATCTCATCTCATAGCTCAATTCCATATCACATACACAACAGATAAGTCCAACAAAATAAGGGTTTACACACCCCTCAAGCAATTCACATCTAGATCATCAATTCTTATCAAGTAATATAACAATAACATTTATAAATTAATATAATAATCAATAGAATTATCAATTTAATATAATTTTAACATAAACAGTAAAACCCCCAATTATTCCAAAACCTAACTCACAGGCACTTTTCTACAGTTTCGTCTCCCTCTCAGATCATCATTTTTACAAATTAAATATATATTTCTAATCCTCAACACATACAGAATCTAACGGGATCATCAATTTCTCAAATAGAAATAATCCAATTTTTCCAAAACCTAACTTACAGACACTTTTCTATAATTTTGTTCTCTCTCCCAGAGCATCATTTTTACAAATTAATCATATATTCATAGTCCTAAATATATATAGAATCACATAAGACCAATAATTCTCCAAACAAAAATAATCTCCAAATTCGGAACGGCCTGTTCTGGACCCTTAAATCATGGGTAAAAATCACATCCAGAATGGCCCGTTCTCAAACTAGAACGGCCTGTTTTGGTGTGCATTTATTACTCACAACGACCATATTTTGGAAACAGGCCGTTCCAAGCCCGTTCCCATTTAGGATTATAGGCAGTTTTTAATAGTCTAGAACGACCCATTCCAACTTGAGAACGACCCGTTCTGGGCTACTAACTCACATACATTTTGGTAGTTTGGAACTTCCTATTCCAATTCCGGAATAACCCGTTCCAAGCTACTAAATCACCCCTATACATTTATGAAAATTACCAAAATACCCTTAATAAAATAAAATAAAAATGAAATAAAAAATGGGGTGTTACAATACTCCCCTCCTTTTAAAAATTTCGTCCTCGAAATTACCTGAAGCAAATAAAAATGGATATGAAGCTTTCATCTTCTCCTCTAACTCCCAAGTAGCACTTTCAGGTGTAGCTCCTCCCCAAATAACTTTCACCAAAGGAATTTCCTTACCCCTAAGTTGCTTCACCATTCGATCCTCGACTCTCACCGGGGTAGCTTCCACAGTTAGGTTCTCCTTAACCTCAAGATGATCCGACTCAATCACATGCGAAGGATCATGGATGTATTTCCGAAGTTGGGAAATGTGGAAAACATCATGGAGATTTGACAGATTAGGAGGCAAAGCAATTTGGTAGGCAACACTACCGACTCTTTTTAGAATTTGGAAAGGACCAATAAATCGAGGAGTAAGTTTTCTGGATTTCAATGCCCTGCCAACCCCAGTCCACGGAGTGACTTTCAAGAACACATGGTCACCTTCTTGAAATTCCAAGTCCTTCCTTCTCCTATCAGCATAACTTTTCTGTCTACTCTGAGCTGTCCTCATCCTCTCTTGTATCAATCTAACCTTATCAGTGGTTTGTTGCACAATCTCAGGTCCTAAGATAACATTATCACCAGGCTCGCACCAACACAAAGGGGTCCTACATCTCCTACCATACAAGGCTTCATAAGGTGCCATACCTATACTAGAGTGGTAACTATTATTATAGGTAAACTCTATCAAAGGTAAAAGACTATCCCAACTACCCCCTTGGTCCAACACACAGGCTCTAAGCAAATCCTCTAAAGATTGAATAGTCCTCTCAGTCTGACCATCAGTTTGAGGGTGGTAAGCTGAACTAAGTCTAAGTTGGGTCCCCAAAGCTCGTTGTAGGCTCTCCCAAAACCTAGAGGTGAATCTAGGGTCTCTGTCTGAAACTATGCTAGATGGTATCCCATGCAATCTCACAATCTCATCAATATACAGTCCAGCCAATCTCTCTAGAGAATACCTAATGTTAATAGGTAAGAAATGTGCACTCTTAGTCAACCTATCAACTATAACCCAAATGGAATCATGCCCTCTCCTAGTCCTAGGCAAAGAAACTACAAAATCCATAGAAATGCTATCCCACTTCCACTCGGGTATACTCAAAGGCTGAAGTAGTCCTGAAGGTTTCTGATGTTCTATCTTAGCCTTCTAACACACTAAACAGGCACTCACAAATTCAGCTATATCTTTCTTCATCCTAGGCCACCAAAATATTTTCCTAAGGTCTTGATGCATCTTAGTTGTTCTTGGGTGAAAAATAAACTTGCTCCTATGACCTTCCTCTAGGATCAAACGTCTAAGTGTAGGGTCACTACGCACGCACACTAGGTCTTTAAGTCTTAACATTCCATCTACACCCAAGGTAAATTCTCCTCTAATACCTTGTCCTATAGCATCACGTCTAGCCACTAGAAATGAATCCACTAACTGTGCTTCTCCAATTTCCCTCAACAACTCACTAGTCACCCGAGTCATACCTAGTCTCACACTACTAGGGGTCACCTCACAAGTCAAACTCAAGTCTCTAAATTGAGCCAAAAGGTCTATGTCCCTAATCATAGGAGAAGACAAATGCAAAGATTTCCTACTTAAAGCATCAGCCACCACATTGGCTTTGCTTGGATTATAACTAAGATCAAAATCATAGTCCTTAAGGAACTCTAACCATCTCCTTTGCCTCATATTTAATTCCTTTTAGTCAAATAAATACCTAAGACTCTTATGATCACTAAACACCTCAAATTTTGAACCATACAAATAATGTCTCTAAATCTTAAGTGTGAATACCACAGCTGCTAATTCAAGATCATGGGTGGGGTAATTCTTCTCATGTATTTTTAATTGCCTAGATGTATAAGATACGTCCTTTCCTTCTTGCATTAACACTCCACCCAAACCCATCTTAGAAGCGTCACAATAAACCACAAAAGTCTTACTAAGGTCAGGCAACACTAAAATAGGTGGTGCACTAGTCAACTTCTCCTTAAGGG